ACAAAAAGACACACATAAGCACAATATCTTATCATGGAGCTCAATTGCAATCTTATCGGTTGGAGGCGTTTTAGGTTTGTTCTTTTCATTCACTAGACTTCCACTTTTGATAAGCGTTCTCTCTTCATGGTTACTACGAAGAGATTGTTTCGTTGTTCACGCCGCTATTGTTGTTGTTGATGCTACTAGTTGGGGCAAATGGACATTTGGGAAGTTTGAAACTTTTAGGGTGCGTTTAGAATTGGTTCCAAAACGTTTTTGTTTTTTGTATGAAAATGAAAACGAAAACGTTTTTATTTTCATTTTAGAATCATTTTTGAAAATGCGTTTGGTAATTTTATTTTAAAATTGTTTTTAGTTTTAAAAAAAAACTGAAACCGCGTTTGGCGTTAAAAATATCTGGGAGAACAAAAACCAATACCACCTGAAGAAAAGTCACCACCCTCCAATTCGCCTCGGCCGACCACCTCCTATCATTATTCCTCTGTGTCCAAATCCTCGCATAAAACACCCCAAAAATCACAATCCACCCTGCGGCAACAACACTCTTCAGCACCACAATCTACCTGTGTTCTCATAATACCAGCAATTTCCTTTATTAATGTTTTTTTCCCCCTTTTTCCATTAAAAAAACAAAAGAGAAACACACACAAATACCATAGATGAAGCTCGGAAAACTCATGGAACACAAAGCCGAATTCGATTTTTGTTGAAACTATTTTTCGGATGAAAAAGAAAAGAGAAAAAATGAAGCAATAGTGAAAGTAGTTTCTGAAACAAAAGCGGTGGAAATCGGAAGACGGAACTGAGAAATTGATCGCATCTGGGCGTTGGAGGACGAGGTGCTCCCTCTGGTTCCGAACGCTATCGTTTTGGAATCTGAAGAATAGGGCGAGCCAATCAAGGAGGTTCATGTGCGGGAGCCATTGTGCGAAAGGCGGCCGACGGAGGTTCCCGACGGCTTGCAGCGCCGCTACCGCGGCTCGAACCTCTGGGTACCGCAACGACGGGTGGTCCGCGAGCAGGTTGTGCACCGGGATTATGTTGTACGGCTCCGACTCCGGGTCTCCCGCCACCGCCGCCAGGCCCAGACGCGACGGTGGGGATGGTCGTTGGCGGAGGCTCATGAGAGAGAGAGAGAGAGAAATACTTCGAAAGATGCAAATGGGAGAAGAAGGAAACAAAAACGAAAATGAGAAAACGATCTTAATTCGTTTTCAGATTTTCAAAAAAAGACAAAAACGTTTTTGTTTTCAATTTTTACAAAATTTTGCACCAAACGCATTTTGTTTACCCATTTTCATTTTTTAACCTCGAAAAACGGAAAAAACGGAAACAAAAACGAAACCAAACAGGCCCTTAGCTTCATATGAAAATCTTGCGTCTTTATAATTTGACAATTATATTTCACCACATTTGGGTGTGTGCAAATGATTCCCCAAGATTGACAGTCCAAATCTGTGGCTAGTTTTTATACTTTGAGAATATTGAGATGTCACAAGAAATATCTGATGAACTCTTTTGGATGAATATTTTATTTGATGAAATCCACTTAATTGTGTTGAAATCCATATTTACTTCTAATAATAGATGCCCCTAACGAACCTTATTCCAAGGGATATCGCCACAGCATTACCCCAATAAAGCTTAATTCTTTCTCAACAAATTCCCAACTCCAAGCCCACCGTCCTTTTTACTCAATGAGACGGTTTCCCAAGCAACCAAATTATCTATTCTTCCATCTCATGATTATCCCACAAAAACCTTTGCATCTGATTCGCTAATTCCTTTTTCAACCAACACCAGTAGTTTAAAGATCGACAAAATGTATATCGAAATGCTAGCCAACACCAAAAGTATCAATGTTAATCTACCTCCCCTTGACAAACCTTTTCTTCCAATTATCCAACCTTTTACGTGACTTTTTCAACTATTGGTGTCCAGAATTCTTTGACAACGGATTTCCCCCAATGGAAGGCCTAAGTACTTCATTGGCTAACTCCATAGTTCACACCCCACCACCTGAGACAAGTTAAAAATCACCCCAACCTTCACATTAATGCCATTCAGGATCCTATTCCCCAAATTGATGTTCAGCCCCAAATTGCGGGAGAAAAAATTTAAAAGCAGTGTTCCGTAAATTTTCTCTATAAGGCTCAAGGAATAGCAATGTGTCATCAAAAAACTGGAGATGTCAAATATGTATCTGTCCCATCCAACTTCAAAAGCTCTCACCACTCCGTTTTCACAAGCCTTATTCACCAATCTACTCAATCCATTCACTCCTAAAGTAAACAAAGAATGGTGACAGAGGGTCTTCATGCCTCAATCCCCTAGTACCTCCCTCTAGGTTTTCCAACCTAAGACAGCTCATCATCCAATAAACCCATTTCGAACCAAAACCTTTCTTCTCCAAGACCTGTTTCAAAAAGAGCCAACTCACATGATTGTTTGCCTTCTCAAAATCAATTTTGAAAACCAAACCCTCTTTCCCACTCGCTCTATACTCCACCACTTCGTTCGCTATTAACACTCAGCCAACATTTGTCTTCCTCTTACAAAAGCACTTTGATTTTAAGAAACTGTTTCCTTCAAACTTCTTTCAATCTGTTTGCCAAGACCTTAGCTATTATCTTTGTATAAACAAGATACCAAGCTTAGCGGTCTAAAGTCCTTGACTTTTTGAGAGTCTGCTTTCTTCGGAATGAGATGAGACATAGGAAAGTATATTAGTGATTCAATTAACCACCCCGTTTACCACATCCGAATACTTTCGGTAGAAGCCCATTGAAAAACCATCCGGGTTGCGGAGACTTTTCGTTGTCACAAGAGAAGACTTCTTTCTTTACCTCCTCTTCAAAAGGCCTTTCAATCCACCTAGCTCTTTCTTCTTGAATTGGGCTCCAACCAACTCCCTCAAAAACACCCTAAACTCTCTTCTCTATATGGGTTTTTCGTAAAAAGACACTAATTCTTTCTCAATATCCACCGAGGATTCTAATACTTCTCCATTCTCACCCTCAAGTCTATTAATTATGCTTTTATTTCTCCGATTGCTAACTAAAGAATGAAACAGTTTCGAGTTTGCATCCCCTTCTTTCACCCATCGAGTCTTCTTTTGCCTCCAAGCTATTCTCTCCTTAAATACTACTTCCTCAAGAGAATTCCTCAGTGACCTTTATCTTTTTTCTTCTTCATTTAACCCATTAACCTCTTCCTTCCTATCCAAAAAATCAATCCTAGTTGAAATCTCACTTTTCACAGTTCCAATTTCTCTAAAAACCTCCTTGTTCCATATCTTCAAGAGAGTATTCAACCGATTGAGCTTCCCACTGAATTTGTACCCTTCCCACCCTTCTAAATTATCGGCAGCCCGCTTCTCTCAACAAAACTCTACAAAACGGGGATGTTCCAACCACATACTCTCAAACCTAAATGGAACCGGTCCCCACTCCACTGAGTTAACATCCAAAATAAGCAGGCAATGATCAGATGTTCTAACTCCCACATACTACTTAGAATTTGGAAATCTCCTCTCCCAATCTGCTGCTAGCAAAAATCCGTCCAATCAACTTTTGGCTTCTTGCTCCCAAATATTGCACCAAGTAAATTGAGCATTAGATAATGCAAAATCCTTAAAATCCCCTTCCCTGACAAAAAAAAATCGAATTATTTCATGCTTCTTCTTAATCTCGTGGCTGGTGCTTTTTCATGAGTATAACTTGTAACATTGAAATCTCCACCTACGCACCACCGCAAATCTCCTTTAACCCAGCCAACTCTTCCCAAAAAAAAAAAAAACTTCCTTTCTCTATTCAAAACTGATCCATAAATTCCAAATAACCACCAAAAAGTATTCTCTTCTTAAATTTTAATCGACACCAAATCTCCCCAACCAATGAGTCGACTACCTGAACAAATCTCACATCCAACATCACTAAAATGCCTCTCAGCCTAGTATTGAAGGTACCACCCAACTCGAAATCTAGCTTTCCATAAACTACTCACCCCTCTTTCCTCCACAATTTCTCTTGTAGTTTCTTGAAGAATATCAATGTCCGGATTCAGTTTTTTAATATTTTTCTTTTATCACCCCTCGTTTTCTCCTCAACCGCAAACCCCTAACATTCCAAGACACAATAATCATTGAAATTTTCCTCCCAATTCCAATGGCTTTTTACCACCGGATTCATACTTTATAATTATACCCACTCCAATAAGCGTTTTTTTCTCCCTACTTCCTCTTTTATTCTTGACCAGGTTCAACCCTTTTGGTTTTGTAATACCTGGATCTCTTGAACTACACATACCCTAAATTTCAAACACTGCCCTTTCAGATTTTTGTGATTAAATTTACTCTCTTCCTACCTAATAATTCCCCCACCTGTTCCCAAAAAAATTTTGAAAAATTTTAACCCAATCTAAATTCTTGGTTAAACTGATTGAATTTAGACAAGATCATTTTTCCTACTGACTATTGAACTAAGTCTTATTAGTCTTAAGTCTTACAGGTGGGGTAAATTAGAGGAACACCTCTTTTCATATACAACACATTCAATTGCAACAGGAAATAACCTGTTACACCTACGGCTTCATACTTATAATTGAAGATTCTTCTATCCTATATCGAGTACGGATTTGAGATCCTATGAAGCTACTCTGTCACAATAAACCACTATATGGTAACAATGACACCAAGCATGTTGACATTAGTAGATTCTTTGACAAAAAAGAGTCAGTAATGGGATATTTAAATCCCTAAGTCACATGTAACAATCATCAAGCAAAAATATCTACCAAAAATAGCCAACAAGCATATATTTTAAAATTGGTCATTCAAAATTGTTTAGCCTTGCACCGAATCTGAATTTCACTAGACAGTGAATTTTGTATCCACTTAACTAAACAAAATATATGCATATATATAAAATTATATATATCTGTGTGTGTGTGTGTGTGTGTAAAGAAAGAAAGAAAGACACCAATTCAGAGTTACTAACCTTTTAGCTTAAGCAAATTTTCACTTTGACCCCCAGAGCTGGCATAGACTTGGCAGGAATCAGATGCAAACATTAAGATTGCTAGATCTGGAACCATTTGATACTTCTCAGCTTTTTAATTTTGTCTGAAATTGTTCAGTCCCATAAGGATATCAAACACTAAAATTTAGTTCCTCTTCACACCCACAATTAAATAGGATAACAAATAACAAAAAATCTAGCAACAAACCTTTGCCAATAAAACGTGATTCCAGCAAACTTCCTTCGCAGTCATGGTCTCACTCGCCCATGGTTCAGTTACCTGTGCGCAGTGCAACCCATCGGGCCACAAATAGCAAATTTAAGAAAATAATTCCAAATACAAAGAATACTGGTTTCGAAAAAATTCCAAAAATTCGTAACCCCAGAAATTAAAAAATAAAATAAAATAATTCAAGGGAAGAACAGCGTAAAGAGGGAGATGAACAAAAAGGAAGAATAGTTGCAGGCAAAATCGTCAAATAATTGCTAAGAACATAATCTCAAATATCCCAATCCGAATTAACAAAGAAAGAGGAAAATAATAAAAAAAAAAAAATAGGGGAAATTGGGTTGGGTGGCCGGTTCTTGACCCAACCCAAAATTTTTGGCCAAAGTTTTTCAACTTTAATTAGATAACCCATCGTGTAAGACGTATTTTTATATTTCTAATTTACCCAATCTTCTTTCTCCTACTATTTTCACGTTTTTTCTCTTAACAGAACCTCAGGTTGCTTTTTTGCCGCCTATACTTTTTATCTCCAATTGGAACCAACAAGAAAGAAGAAATTGATTGACCAGAAATTGATTAATAGAACCAGATAGCGTTGTATGCATAGAAAGAAAAAAAATCAATCAGTGAAAAAGAAAGAACTGGATAACAAGCAAAGCATCCATGGAGGGAGAATAATCAACCAGCAATTTACTCCAATAAATAAGGGATTTGCTCATTGGGGATCGAAGACGACGCCGGGAGGCCGGCGGTTAGGGTTGCGACAAGTAAGCGCAGCCACAATCTCCTCCTCTCCTTGGCGGCGAACTATCTGCTGGTCTTGGAGATCTGGGAGAACAGCGCTGATTCTTTGACGGCGAGGGGCGTTTAATTCGTTCATTCGAGTTTTTAATTCGAGTTGAGATGTGACGTTATGTGAGAGTTTTTTATTGTAGTAAAAAAATTAAATGTGACTATTTTTGAGAGTTTTTTACTATAACAAAACTCGAATTTTAAATTCGAATCGGCGAAATGAACGGGCCTTAGAATATTATTGTCGTTGTTTATATTGAGTTACAAAGGACTCGTTCATTTCACCGATTCGAGTTTTCAGTTTTAAGTTTCTACAGTAAAAAGCTCTCAAAAAATGCAACATCTAACTTTTTCTGCTATAGTGAAAAATTCTCAAAAAATATCACATCTCAACTCGAATCCGCGAAATGAACGAGGCCTAACAAATTGAGGATTACCATTTATTTCTATTCTTAGTTGTAGACTAGTGAGATGTCCGTGCTATTGCACGGATGTGTTTTTATTTATTTTATCATAAGATTAAATTAAATAATATAGTAAGTAGTTATAAAATAGTGATCACACTGAAAAAATATTTTAGAAAAATAGAGTACGATAATGTCATTCAAAGGTTAACATAAACCATTATAAATGCTCAAAATATAGTTTACAGATTGTTGTAACTAGTACATATGCATATTTATTAATTTACAAATATATACGTATATATACATATTTATATATGTATATGTGTACATATATTTCTCACGTGATTTGTTGATTAGTCTTCTCTATATATTTTTTCTTTGTTTCTTCTGTGCTGCAATAAAGCAAGCATAAAATAAATATTAGTTGTTAGTACATTATAGCTGATGGTGATAGTTTGTTTCTTACAGAAATAGGCGTTTTAATATAAAAAAGAAAAATACTTTGGTGGCTTTCTTTTTTTCGATGAGTTAACAGAGGAAGTTAGTGAGGTTGCTGGTGAGGACTATAATAAAGTTAAATATTATTATACAATTATTGATATTGGCTTTAAATTTTTAATGTAAAAGAAGTAAAACGTGAATGGTAATTTACCTTCCTTC